AGAAGAGGCAATAAATCCGTTATTCATTCGTACTTGTTTCTTCCCGCAAATGGGTTTTAAGTCAGAAATCCGCTCGACTCCTCAACTTTGGATGGGTCCAAGTACGAGTTAGTTGATGTATTGATAATAGAACCAGGAATCAAGAATCACCATACTGGCGCTGTTCTACTGACTTTCTAATTTTCCGAGCGCTATAATAAGCTGGGAACAGTGCTTAAATGAGTATATAGGTAGATATAGGCTCTTGAAATAGTGTAAGAAAAAGTAGATCTTCTTCTTTGTATTGATACTCAAAGGGCTTAGAAAGCTTTGTTTATCCTCTAAAGCACGCGCATTATGGAAGAAAAGAAAAGCTTGAATGAAAGAAATCAATTTCACAGTTTCGTTCTACACTCTCGTGGGAAATCAGACAATAAATCTTTGGTAGTTCACTTCTATAAGCATAAAAAAAGAGAGAGCAATTAATAGGAGATTGAACATTATTGAATTCAGTGGGAAAGAGATGTTGAAGAGAAAGGGAAAGTTTTTGTAGGTTCCCTATTCCCCTAAAATACATATTAGCCATCCTTTAATTTGATTTCTTAAAAATCACATCTCCAAATTTTTATATATGCATCTTTGAAAGGTATAACAATAAATAAGAGCTTTTTTTTTTTCATATACATTCGTCACCTTTGGCATGTACGGCTGAAAATGGAAGCGTTGTGTATGTTTTACCGATACGAAAAGGGGTTTAGGGTTTACAATACCGAGTAATCGCTTCTGCTTGATAGAGCACTGGATTCAATTCTCAAGCGAAGTTTATCTGCATCCATTTGGTCTTCCACTAGTGCGGAATATCTATCGTGCATACAATATTTCTCAAAATAGCATAAGTGACCTAAACTGAGCTTTGTTGGGAAAGTGACATAATGTACTTTATTTGACACATTATAACTCATGTTAGGATTACTGCTTTTTCGATATGAAATTTTTGTTTGCAATCTATGCCGCAGATATATTTTGAATCACGTTTGCCAACATCGCTTGCATTATTTATCGAAACCTCCAATACAGTGTTGTCATTTCCATCGTTGGAAAATATGAGGAAAATCCAGGATTTTGAAGACATCCCAATTCAATTTATGAAACGATATAAAAAAAACAAAAGAAAACCGGAACAAAGACAAAGAGAACAACAAAAAGAGAAGCCTACAGCACCCCGGATTCCCATGTTGTCTCCAACCATAGTACTAACGAGGCCCTCAGACGCTTAACTGCAGTGATCGGACGGGAACTGGTGTTTTCGCCTAGGTATGGCCGTAGACATCTTTCAACGCAAGATGCAAATTCTATAAAGTATACTACTAGTAGTGCTTGTAATACTTTCATCTGTAGTAGGTAGGAAGTAGTCTACCTATTGATATTCACAGAATAACGACACGAATAAATAGACTCCTTTTTATAGTTGGACCTCTGAAGCTTCATCAGATCGGAAAG